TGTATGCTTGTATGCTTGTATGCTTGTATGTGTGTATGCTGATGTTAATCTCTTCTTGCATGGGTATATAGAGTAATCTCGTGCGTGGGAAATTAACGTCTACTACCCCAACCCTGCAGGAGACGGGACCTCCATTTATTCGTCCCTATCAGAGAAGACTAGAACATCTAACCATTTCTTGATGTTAAAGAAAGGAAGCATATTCTTCTCAATTAATTTTAAGACCCTGAGTGTTGGTCCAGCTGGTATTGAACTCTCGACCTCCCGCACGGCAGTCCAGCGCTCTCCCAATTGAGCCAACCAGGCGGCAGTATGCTGTATGCTTGTATGCTTGTATGCTTGTATGTGTGTATGCTGATGTTAATCTCTTCTTGCATGGGTATATAGAGTAATCTCGTGCGTGGGAAATTAACGTCTACTACCCCAACCCTGCAGGAGACGGGACCTCCATTTATTCATCCCTATCCGAGAAGACTAGAATATCTAACCATTTCTAAATGTTAATGATGGGACTACCGCTGGCTAGATACCGAGGACTCGCTAGGACCGCTGACCTGCAGTAGTCAGCCAGGTCGTTTCGGACGCTAAAACTCATGTGCATCTTCAATAGATCTTGCGAATTGAACTTATTATCGTAAGTCTATGATATTGTGTTTCGTTTAGCTTAATTGTTCGCATTACTTAGTGTTTGGATTTTGTGATTTATCCTGTAGATCTGTTTCATCGTTGTGATTAAACTAAATCAACCGAGGAGTTCGCTTCATGAAACAGATGATCACGTAATCATGGTCGTCGTCGAATGAAGCAAAGCTCAACGTACCAACTGGGGTCCCCGACCCAGCACCGATGTCACCCCTCGCCCCAGCACAGGATAACAGCCCCCTTCCCGACATACAGCCCCAAGACCCCCAGTTACCAGCAGCTGCTGTTGACAATTCGCCAACGCCCATTACTCCACCTCAACTGCCGCCCGAACCCGCTACACGTCCTCGCCGCTTAACACGGCCACCCAAACGGTACGAACCCGAAACAGGACAATGGGTCACTTGAGTCCTACAAACGACGCGATACGTTGTACCCTTCTCAGTTCTCGGACTGGGGGGGATGATGGGACTACTGCTGGCTACATACTGAGGACTCGCTAGGACCGCTGACCTGTGGTAGTCAGCCAGGTCATTTCGGACGCTAAAACTCATGTGCATCTTCAATAGATCTTGCGAATTGAACTTATTACCGTAAGTCTATGATATTGTGTTTCGTTTAGCTTAATTGTTTGCATTACTTAGTGTTTGGATTTTGTGATTTATCCTGTAGATCTGTTTCATCGTTGTGATTAAACTAAATCAACCGAGGAGTTCGCTTCAGTTAAAGAAAGGAAGGATATTCTTCTCAATTAATTTTAAGACCCTGAGTGTTGGTCCGGCCGGTATTGAACTCTTGACCTCACGCACGGCAGTCCGGCNGTGAAGTGTTAGTCAAAAATGGTGCCATTCGGAGTAAACGTTCTTTTCTTAACTCAAGAAAAAAATTTGGGGGGGCTCTGTTGTTGTTTCACAAAAGCCCTTTAAAACTGAACAAGTTGGAAAAATCGTAATTCTCTTTTAAAAAGCCACACCAACCCGTATTATACCGTTAATTTCAAGTCGTTTTATCAGTATTTCCTTCAAGCTCTGACGCCGGCACCCACTTTGACATTGAAACTACCAGTTATTCTATTATTTCGACTATTGTCCGAGCAGTCAACAAAAGGAAGTAAAAAACAATGGCAATTAGAAAGTGCCGTACACGCTCGTCACCTCGTTCTCCAATATGACATTTTATAACTAGAATAATTCCAGAACTTAAAAATGGTTTAGGCTACAGTGACAATCTTGAGATGTTTGTTGACTCCTCTTTCGTGGAATCAACAAACATCTCAGCAGGTTTCAGAGCGTGACGTGGCACCAAGATGCTTAAAGATTTCATGTGTCACGGTGGGCGCTTTCCATTAGACCAAAATTTTCGAGATTTCCGGTCAGAAATCGAATGGAATGGGAGAAGTTCCGCGATAAGTTTTTCAAAAATTTAGGAATACGTTTTGAGCGTACCCTCTTAGATACGGTCGGACGCGTTCCATTCGGCTAGCGAAAATACCGATATTTTATACCCATGATTTTTGTTGAATGGAAAGCGCCCCTTGACGCCTAAAACCTGTCAATAAAACACCTTCATGTCCACAATATTTTATCATAAAAGTTAAAACAAACATGACTTTGCAAACATAGCCGTGTCAATTTTCGAACCCCGACAAATCCAAAAGCGCGCCATCCTAGATATAAGCTGATCGGTTTTGCACCTTTTTCAACTCCAGATCGCGAAATTCGATTCTAGGAAGGCACAATCGAAAGAATGTAATTATTTTGCGTCGATACAGCCCATAGAAGGGCTCTAACAAGCGAATTGCTAATGGTAAGTTTACCCCACTAGGGTAAACTTTACCCGGTGGTAAACTGAAACAAACAAAGCACTCTGATTGGTCAATTCGAGTAAAAATTACCCTCATCTGATAAATGTTTTTAGTGCATTTTGTTTTTCATAAGGGCACAATGTTTTATACACGTGTTATATATATATATTTTAAATTTGCAATGTGATGAACACTGATTAACTCAGTAACACTTTCAAATTATACCTCTTTGATATCTCCTTGTTGCTGACCACACTGCTGTCTACAACTCTAAAATCAGATATAAACAATGATTGGTTGCAAGAGCACTAATAAGACCTCCTTTTCAAATCTGATTGCAATCAATTCTAATTAGCTGTATTTAAAAAAATGCCACACTTTGCAATACACTTATAAGTTACCACACCATTACTCTCAAGAAATCATACTTCAGCAATTTGCTAGAGTGGATAAAAAAAAAAGAGATCAAAACACCATTTCTGTTAAGGGCTCAGCTTTTAAGTCATAATCCTTGGCATGTAAAATTGTGGCTACATTAAAAAGTAATATAATTGTAACTCCTGCATTAAAAGGATGTAAATAAAATGATACTATTCCAACTATCAACATGGTATCATCATAGATAAAAGATTCCTTTTGCCACCTGGTGAGGCTACAATCAGTCACAGAGTAACAACCTCAGTCAACACTTCCTAGAAGTGTATTTTGCAAAAATTTCAAACTTGAAGTGATATCTAGTATGTTATGGCTATAGTATTAACAACTTTACCTGTAGCTCTAGCTGGCATGCTGCAAGTTCTGAAGACCTCTCCCTTAGGCTCTGAGGAAAACAGAGTAATATCAAAGCCAGTGTTTGATAATTGATACATAATAGTTCAATCAGGATTTTTGCTTCTTTTCACTTCATCAACATTAAACTATTATCAAAAATATTTGATGACAAGTTATTTCACATGGAAGCAACATAGTATATTCAAATATAAACAATAGCTTCCACAGGTGTGAAAATATGCCCAGATATTTGTCTGTGGACATTCTCTGTTCAGAGAAGAGAACAGTTTTCCAAAAGAGAAGCTTGAGGAAGACTGTGAGCTTTGAGAAAACATGTGAGGATATTTTTCCACCATATGGAGACAATTGTGTTCACCTTCCTTCAAATAATTTTGCAATGTGCAGGTAATATGTTTAATAAACAGTTTACTGTTTGCTGCCTGTGGGATGTTTCCTTTTCAGTGTTCTCCTGTGCAAGTCTGCTTTGCGAACGGGTGTCTCCAAAACGAAGACCGAAGACCGAAAAATGAAGACTAGGGGGTTCTTTGTTTTGTAGAAAAGACCCCGTGAATCTATAAAACGAAGATGCTCGCTAAAATGCTTTGTCAGACGCCAATTAACGTGAAATCAAGGGGGTCTTTGTTTTGGTAGAAAAGACCCCGTGAATTTATAAATTAAAGACCCTCGCTAAAATGCTTTGTCAGACACCAATACTGACGTGAAATCATTGGGTCTTTGTTTAATATGTAGAAATGACCGTGTGAATATGCAAAACAAATACCCTAGATTGAATAGTTCCCTTTGGCAATGAAAGTTTGATGCGAAAAGAATCAAATATTGTTTATTTGTGGCTATTCAATTCTGGAATTATAGAAACTAAACACAGGGAAAATGTCTTCAATTCCTGATAGAATTAACAAACTGTTATATCTTGTTTTCTATTTAAAGAACATTAACAAAACCAAAGTAAACAATGATGTGCTAATTATCTAACTGCAGTTTGAGATTAAAATCCCTTGTAACATATTTGTACTGACGTAGACAGGCACGTGTGTTCTCCTCACTAATGACATAAGCTAGAATATACGAGGAACTAATTCATACTGGAAAAAAATGACTGCTACCTTCATTTACAGGGCTATCATTCTATAAACAGCAACTACAGGAGAAAGAAAAGGTACTTTATAATTTTTCTGTCGGAGTGTCTCGTTTTACAAGCTCGCTTACAAAATTTGGCAGAGGGTTGATAATCATTCGCTAAAACAAAGCTTAGCGAAATATGAACACATGACCTAATGTATAAGGCCTATTCAGTCAATTATTCAGTCAATTAAGGATCATTTTTAAGTCATGCAAATATGCACAGAACTGAACTTCCTTTACAAAATATATGTAATTTTTATAAACAGTTTTAGCAAGGGTCTTTATTTTTTAGATTCACACGGTCCTTTTTAAAACAGAAAACAAAGGCCCCTATGATTTCGCGTCAATTGGTGCCTGACAAAGCGTTTTAGCAAGGGTCTTCGTTTTATAGATTCACAGGGTCTTTTCTACAAAACGAAGACTCCCTTGATTTCGCGTTAATTGGCGTCTGACAAAGCGTTTTAATGAGGATCTTCGTTTTATAGATTCATGGGGTCTTGTTGGTGTATTGACTTAAGAATTTTACATACCAGCTGCCTGAAGGGGTTAATTTACCTTAACATCACTCACTATGACATACTCTGAATACATGCATAATAGATTGGAGTAGAATCTACCTGGATTAAGAACACAATGTCCCTGAGCTGAAAAGGACAAATCTGGTAAAAGGGAATGACACATATCAATCAATAGATACTTCTGACAAAGAAAGTTGAGATAGTCAATGAGGTAAAGGTTTAGATCCTGATTACAACAAAAGCTAGATAATTCCAAATAGACAGGACATGGTAAACACTGCACATGATATTTAGTAGAACACCACTGACAGCAAAGCAAAAACAGTACCAAGCCACTAATAAGATAACTTACCTGCTGAAGATCATCACTGTTCCCAAAGGTATCATCATTTTCAGAAGGCCTACCAGTTTCTCCAAGCACCTCACTAACCCTTTCCTGTCCAGCCAAAGGGTTCAGATGTGACTGCTGAACTGTAACAAGGCCCACAGGGATATTTGCTCTCTCGTGGGTGACTGGTCTTGATCCAGTGCTTGATCCAGTGCTTGATCCTCTGCTTGAGGTCATTGAGTAGACAGAACTTGGAATTGTGTCAACCTGAGAAGCTGAGCCACTGTTGTCCTCTTCATCTATACCTTCACCCAAGTCTGGTGCCACTGCCTGCTGGCACTGGCTTTCAGGGGCTTTGAGCTCAGCATGATCTGAGTTGACCTGCCATGTTAAACACCTGGAGTCATTTCCAGTGCTCTGTTCCAACTGGCTTGCAGGGACTACAAGGACAGGTAAAATGGCTGGTGATGAAAAAGGCGAGTCATCATTCTGAATTTGCTGCAAATCCTGCCCATCTGAAACTTTTCTTTCTTTAGCTTTATCAACTTGTGGATCATGATGTTTCCTATCATCCTTTCTTGTTTCCACAGTACCAGTAGTTTCTTTGCAAGTATTGTGACTCAGATTATCTTCTGAGGGTGGTGGTTTTCCATCATCATCTCTCACTTCCACAGTAACAGTAGTTTGTTTCCAAGTTTTGTGACTCAGGTTGTCTTCTGAGGGTGGAGGCAAACTCTGCTCTGGCCAATTCAGGGATGAAGATCTAGTCTTCTGACTCTCCTCTACAGTTCCTCCTGACCCAGATTGCAATCTTGAAGTTAATTCTAAGAAAACCAGGAAGCAATTATAATAAATACATCTTATTAGACCTTTTGTTGTGTGGTATCACTGAGTATTTTTACAAGTTGTGCCATATTTTGACAAGCCCTATGGGCTCGTCAAAGTCAAAATACAAATAACGAGTAAAAATACTCAGCAATATGACACACCAAAATGTCTGATGAATTATTTATTATCCAACATGCTTAATTGTTTATTTCAGTGCCAGAAAATTTCACAGATATTTATTTATGGGGAGTGTGTATCAGAAGTATGCAAAGTGGAAAGGAAGTGGGGCATTGTTGTATTGCTGTTTCTGTTGTCTTCAATAAATGATGAAATGTCATTGTCATCTAATGGCTTTTGTCTTGTAGCTGTTCCTACTTTCTGCAATAAATGATGAAATTTCATTGTCGTCTAAGTGCTTTCCTTTGTTTCATTTATCTTATAAACTTGGATCAATATTCACCAGCCATTCTGACTGTTAGGCATCAGAAAAATAATTGAAACTGTTCCCCAGTTGTTTTTGTAACTTCAATCCAATTCATTGCTTGCATGATGCAAGAAAACCTGTCTGACCAGTTCTCTGGAGTATGAATACTGCCTGCTATTTGTACCCGTCTTGAGCGTTCTTTCTACTCTATGGAGTGTAGTTGGATAGTAATAAAAGATGCTTAATTGCTCTAAGTTTACCCTATTTTTTCATGCCAACACTTAAATCCTGCGACTGACAGCAACCCCTCAACCCTCCCTGGTCTCTGGTAAATGATCCTAGTCTTCCATTTTCAATCTGTGAAAAGTAATACTAAAGAGTGGCCTACTGAGCCATTTACCCCTCAACTCTTAACATCTGATTAGTAATCCTCCCCTCTAGGGGTGCTGCACATTTCCTTAACAATTAGTTCCAAGAATTTGGTGTTAAGTCAAGATGACAACTTCTACCTCGGCTGATAATTTTGAACATGATTTTCATACTCTGTTTGCAGGATAATGTATGGATAATGTAGGGAAGAGTTACACTTTAATCACATCTGGTAGTTAAAGGGTTAAGCATTAATATGTTTTTTTTTGTTTGAAGCAAGCCAAATCACCAGCCCCCTCACACCCAAACCTCCCTCCAATGAAGAAAGCAAAATTGCAGCAGATTTTAATATGATTTTCTGATGCATTGAGCCAGATAATAAAATCTACATATATTTCATTTATACCACGCTAGTCACCTAACAGACCACGAGAGAAACTTCAGAACAAAACATATTAAGAATATTTACTCGTTCTATGATGTGTTAAGTCCAAAATTGAATGTAAATATGCATAACCTTCAGCATTCTTAAGCCTTGGCTCCTTGAATTTGTTTGAGAGAGGCTCTTCAGGCTTGTTGCTGTATTGTGCATACTCATGCAGACTTCTGTGGTGGGTGGTATGATTACTATCTCTTGGATACTGATCTGGTAGAGGATTTTCCAATGTCTTAATTGGATCTGTCATTGGCCAGTGATCAGCATCAACAAGTTCCTCAAAATCTTTTGTTAATCCAAGAAGTTCAAAGATGAACCTCCATGTAACAAGAAACAGTTCTCCATTTTTTTCTTCAGCAATGGCAATAACCTCTCGAACTGTCCTTCCTTGGGTTACATCAATTCTTAACACCATCGCAAGGATATCCATGGAGTCTTTGTGTGATTCTAACCGAGCCTCTAACTTTTCCTTTAGGGAACTGGATGGCCTTTTGACCAATGATGTAAGCCCTTTAGTAGAAATGCAACATACGAGTTTCATAGATTACTCACCATAATGTTCTAACACATTGGTAAAAAAATGATAATAATAAATATCTATACAGTGTGACCCTTCAGTGCATTTAAGTATTGTTATCAAAGGGATCCTGTTTAAATCAATTATAAACAAAAACAAAAACAAAAATTGTGGATTCATAAAATAATTCTTAAAAAGGTCTAAAAACATTGCTGTGTTTGCAGTAATAAACAAATAAACAAGCCTTTCTCTTTAAAACATTATCATCCCCAGGTAGGTATATAGCTGTAGAGTTCATAGCTTATTAACATTTGGAGTTTGGCAAATAGTCCTGTGACTTTGTTGCTGTACATAGGTTTCTGATTTCACATCTCAGTGTTTCTGACCAACCAAGCATGTTTTGGCCAGAGTAAGAGAAAAAAGGGCATTAACATTGTTCCATATATTCATCCCGCAAATTCAGTGCATTTGGTGTACTGTACATTGCACATTTTAACTTAGTTTAAATCTACAAGCATGCTGCAATGTGATTAGCTATGCTACTCACAATCTATCCCCTGACCATTTGCGAGTGATATGAGTAGACTTACAGTGTGTGGATGTAGAAAAATAGGCCCATCTTAATGTCAAGTCTTGGGCAGCTTCAAAATTTTTGCTTGGCCAAGAGCCACCCATGACGTAGAAAGGGAAAATGGATCATTGTTGAAATCAATTAGAGTAGCTTTAGCAGAAGGAAAGAGTTGGAGAATATAGAGATGAATAAGTTTCTCCTTGCCTAGCTGTCAACACCACATTCAACAACAGGAATGAGTTGATTTTTAGGAGAAAAATTATCACTGTGACAGTGACGAAAATGCCAGAGCTTGTTGATCCATAAGAAGAGGAAAGGGAAGTAAGTGATTAAGTTTGTAAGTCTAAAAAACACCATGTTCAAAATAGATTTCAAGCTAGAGACCAAGACGTAAAGGAAGAAGACACTGCTCTGTTAGAGAAGAAGTAAGAAAACAAGCTGTTGTATGAGGTGATATTGTGCTATGGGTATCAAGTGGTAAAATGGTCCTCCTGCACCACAAGAATTCAGTACAAGCCAAACCTTCAGCACATACTGGTAAACCCACTTCATTTGCAAGATCCTGAAAACCAGAGAGTTTGATCTCAACATGCTGAACCCCAGACTAATCAAAAGAAAACTGTGTTCATGTCTAAACAAGAGAATCGTGTTCCAGTAGCAGGATCTCCACCAGAGGTTGGCCCATTCCTGTACCTTTTATATAGCCTAGAAACCGTTGAGGAGATTCTGCAAGATTACCAAGCTTCCAAAGCTGACTATAGTCTGCACTGAACTTAGTAGAGTATACACAGTAGCATTTAATGTTTTCCTACGAGAGTGACATTTGAACATTCTTCTATAAACTTGACTGCAAACACCATGTTCATGACCTAAGCAATGTTTTCCATACACACTCGTTTTTATAAGTGGACTAACTTTAAATTAGCATGTTCCAGGAGCTTTTTTCATTTTTGTTTAGTATCAAAAGGTAAGATTGTAACCAAGAAAGGAAGGAAAGCAGCACTCTAAGCCAAAGGTGTCACATTAACAAGTACATCTGGGAACTTTGTGAGTAGAGAGCTAGCAGGAAAGCAAAGTTCAACGCTAGAACGTTATCGAAATACACAAACCAATAAAATTATCAAAATTATTGTTAAAATATTCTTGAAAATGATATGACCTTGCTTCACGTCATTAACAAGTTAAAAGTAAAAATGACAAGTGAAAACATTTAAGGTAATAAAAAAATAAAGCCAATAACACATGTCTAAAACATTGTGCCCTTATGAAAAACAATATGCACTAGAAACATTTACCAGATAAAGGTAATTTTTACCTGAATTGACCAATCAGAGTGCTTTAATTGTTTCTTTCAGTTAACTTCCGGGTAAAGTTTACCCTACTGGGGTAAACTTACCATTAGCAATTCGCTCGTTAGAGCCCTTCTATGGGCTGTATCGACGCAAAATAATTACATTCTTTCAATTGTGCCTCCTTAGAATCGAATTTCGCGATTTGGAGTTGAAAAAGGTGCAAAACCGATCAGCTTATATCTAGGATGGCCCGCTTTTGGATTTGTCAGGATTCGAAAATTGACACAGCTATGTTTGCAAAGTCATGTTTGTTTTACCTTTATGATAAAATATTGTTGACATGAAGGTGTTTTATTGACAGGTTTTAGGTGAAAAGTTTATACAATAGCAAATCCGGCGTGTAATATAATCCTGCAGCAATCCTAGCGCGCGTCTTCTTGACGTTAGCGACCTAGTTAGAATCGAACTTACACACTCGCGATCGATCATTGGAATGCCATGACAATGTCCTCCTTTTCTTTCCATTCTTAAAGAAAATCGATAAAACAGTCAACATTTTGAATTGTAATGTAAGATGCACAGCATTTCACTCGGAAAAAACGTGACACATACTAACTATGGACACATGTAATCTGTAAACATCTTGGTGCCACGTCACGCACCAAAGAAACCATGTGTGTTTAGCCATTTCTTCCTTCCTGCATGAGAAACTACTCGAATATTGCAGAGAGTGCTGTCACATTTTACTTCTGATGTAGTCGCAAAACTCTTCGATGTATTCGTGATGGAAACTACTTTCTAAAAATCTTCACTTCCAGATTTTCCGAAGAGTGTTTCTTGCGAATTCGAGAGCGTACTTATCGAACTAAGTAATCTACGCTCACGTATCAAAGTATCAGACGTGTAATCTAATTAAAGCGTTCTATCCGGCGACTTTAGCAGCATAACTTGGAAGATCATGATGGATCATTGAGCCTCCACAAAAATGTCCTTTCCAAAATTCCTTTTCTTTACGAAATCGATAGAACAATCAACAATTTAAACTGTAATGTAAGGTGCGCAGCGTTTCGCTCGCAGAAAACGTGACACATGTAAAAATCTTGCTGTCTCGTCATGCAGCAAAGAAAACATCCGCGTTAAAGTTATGACTCTTAGACGACAAGAGATTTTTATGTGTTTGGCTGCTCTATTATGCGAACAATTTTTGCCAATTCGCGAGTGGAGTTGCCAAGATATCGATCAAGTACTACTTCATGGAAATATTTTTTTGTCAGTGCATTCAGCAGCAGTGAAGTGTTAGTAAAAAATGGTGCCATTCAGAGTAAACATTCTTTTCTTAACTCAAGAAAAAAAATTTAGGGGGCTCTGTTGTTGTTTCACAAAAGCCCTTTAAAACTGAACAAGTTGGAAAAATCGTAATTCTCTTTTAAAAAGCCACACCAACCCGTATTATACCGTTAATTTCAAGTCGTTTTATCAGTATTTCCTTCAAGCTCTGACGCCAGCACCCACTTTGACATTGAAACTACCAGTTATTCTATTATTTAGACTATTGTCCGAGCAGTCAACAAAAGAAAGTAAAAAACAATGGCAATTAGAAAGAGCCGTACACTCTCGTCACCTCGTTCTCCAATATGAAATTTTATACCTAGAATAATTCCAGAACTTAAAAATGGTTTAGGCTACAGTGACAATCTTGAGATGTTTGTTGATTCCTCTTTCGTGGAATCAACAAACATCTCAGCAGGTTTCAGAGTGTGACGTGGCACCAAGATGGTTAAAGATTACATGTGTCACCAAAATGGTTAAAGATTACATGTGTCACGGTGGGCGCTTTCCGTTTGACCAAAACTTTCAAGATTTCCGGTCAGAAATCGAATGGAACGGGAAAAGTTCCAGGATAAGTTTTCGAAAATTTGGGAATATGTTTTGAGTGTACCCTCTTGGATATGGTCGGACGTGTTCCATTCGGGCAGCAAATATACCGACATTTTGAACCCGTGATTTTTGCTGAATGGAAAGCGTCCCTTGTCACCTAAAACCTGTCAATAAAACACCTTCATGTCAACAATATTTTATCATAAAGGTAAAAATAACATGACTTTGCAAACATAGCCGTGTCAATTTTTGAATCCCGACAAATCCAAAAGCGCGCCATCCTAGATATAAGCTGATTGGTTTTGCACCTTTTCAACTCCAAATCGTGAATATCGATTCTAAGAAGGCACAATTGAAAGAATGTAATTATTTTGCGTCGATACAGCCCATAGAAGGGCTCTAACGAGTGAATTGCTAATGGTAAGTTTACCCCAGTAGGGTAAACTTTACCCGGCAGTAAACTGAAAGAAACAAAACACTCTGATTGGTCAATTTGGGTAAAAATTACCCTCATCCGGTAAATGTTTTTGGTGCATATTGTTTTTCAGAAAGGCACAATGTTTTAGACATGTGTTCAATGCTTCTTCCCTAAGGGTATTAGTTTCCAAACACAAGTCGAGTCACTCTACATGATCAAAGAAGGCTTGATGTTCCCCAAAAAAGCATTTTGTAGATTAAACAGTCAAACTTGCTGGTACATATTTACAATTTACAATACAGACCTCCTGCCCAGTAAAAGAGAGATAATTATATATTGTTTCAACTTGAATTATAGAGTACACATACTTCAGAGATGAAAAATAGTTAATTAAACGCTTACCTGAATACATTGTGATTCACCGATTCCTTTTCCCAAAATTTTATTTCGAGTTTCTAAAACAAATATATTCATAAATTGTTATTAGGTTTACGATGTTTATCAAATCGAAGGCATCTCAGGCAAAATAACAAACTCGTTAGACATGGGAACCACATCAAAGAAGCTATTAAAACATTTTCACATCTATATAATTAGTCAAATTCAATTACATTAATTTAAATATCAACCTGAACTCGTCCGGGAATTGTAGGTTTTGATGCAGTGAAACCACTTCTATCAATTCCACATGATCGTAAGATAATTTTTATGCACGAAGGTTAGATGTACATGTGAATTTGTCAGTGCAGTAATCTCAGCTGTTTTGAAATAGACTCTCAACATGTTCAATTTCACTAAGCACGCACAATTCCCGATTAACAGTTCGAAACATTTACGTTAAAATAATTTTGAGATACAACATAATCAAAACAATGACTTGCACGTAGCCTAATCAGTCGCCCATTCAAGCAACGCTCGCGAAAAAGCACTTATTGTTTAATCACCTCATCGTATATATTGATCTCTGTTATAAAATTACATTAGGGATGCTTTACAGATAACCGTTAAAGAAGTCAGATATATCTAGATAGTCCTACGTCGTAAGTTAAATTCGAACTGACAATCGCTTCGTAATGAACGTCCATTTTGACGTTCTGAAATTCGTATTTTCAGGAAGATTCTGTAGCCTCATAACGAACTGAGTTAACAAAGTATCGTAACTTATCTACACCATAATTTACGCTTACCTTGCTCAAACCTGAAATGCTTTACCTTTCTTTGGCCTAACGAAAAACACAGTCACCACTCTCAACGTAGTTACGTCAGGTTCACGCACCATGTGAAATTCAGGAGAAGAAGAAAAACACGACAGACGACGAGATATTCGAGATATTGACAAACAACTCGTAACGAGGCTCGTAAATTGTACGAAAGAAGACGACAAGTCACGATCCTAAACCTTCTCTCTTCGGAACTAACCGGGTCAATTGGTGAGAAATGGCGGGAAAGTTGTAGTCCTTTCGCGGTACAACCAGCGAATTTGCACTCTGGGATCACTGCATTGCATTATGGGCTCGTCAAGGGCAAGTGTATATCCAAGATGGCGGACGACGCATGGTAAGTGTTCGAGTTAAGAGCTTTTCTTCTCGTACGATAGGTTCCTGTCGGTAATCAAATGAATGCTCTTCATGCTACAAAAATGTCATGCAGCGGTTCTTTCAGGTTTATCTTAAATAAATTAATACAAGTCGTCATGTGTGTATTTACTATTGTGGCAAGAGCTACTGCTTTTTTTTGTTTTAAAATAAACCAGTTTAGGAAGTACATTACGCGCACAACCTGTAAATTATCAAGGCAACATGGTGTGAAACTTGAGGTGTTTCTGGGGGGGGGGGGCCCTAGAACAGTAGTGTGGTTATCCTTTGCATTTCACGAAATATTTCAAAAGCAAACATTGAAAGGGTGTGGACAAAACCTGGCCTAGGCCATGGCCTACCCTGTGGCCTACCCTGTGGCCTACCCTGTGGCCTACCCTGTGGCCTACCCTGTGGCCTACCCTGTGGCCTACCCTGTGGCCTACCCTGTGGCCTACCCTATGGCCTACCCTGTGGCCTACCCTGTGGCCTACCCTGTGGCCTACCCTATGGCCTACCCT